ATTTTAGATTTTTGCATTAGGAATGAATAACTGGAAATGCAAATATTTCAAAATCTGAAAAAATTCTAAATCTGAAACACTTCTGGGCCTAAGCATTTTGAATAAGGGATACTCAACCTGTATTATTTATGTGTATGAGAATATAATCGGATAAATCCAACTTAACTATTTTCATTTTTAAGGTAAACAACTCATTTGTTCTGTAATAAGCATTATTAAAAATCATTTAATGTATACTTAGACTTGCCTTTCTATGCCTTTAAGCAGCTTATAGACACACAGATGCAACTATAAATACCACTTGGCATACTGAGTAAGAGAACATTACACAAATGATATTACAAATAAATTAAAACTCACAAAACATATGAGTTCTAAATTTTATAGTCTTGCTGCTTTTGCTTTTGAATACCTATAAACTTTCCATAAAAATAATTGACTTTATTATTCATTTTGGGCTAGGTTAAACAGGCTGATATGACAGATAAAATGCCAGATGCCAACTAAACCTTCATACTCTTATCATAAAAGCAATGACAATTTTATCTAAACTGTCAAAAATATCCTAGAATAAAGAAATGTTCAGAAAATTGCTATGTATGTGACATAAGTATTCATTGAAAAATTATCCTTCAATCATTATAGGCAACCAAGATTCAAGATATTTACATATAAATATCACATCATGTTATATTTCTAAAATATAAAGTCTGTTAATGTAAAACATTAAAATGCCATCAAATTTCATCTGTGGCATTTGGGAATGTATGTATATGGTGGTGGAAGAGACTGCAAAAGAAAATGTTTTCCATGAAAGGTTCTAATAATCTTAAGCTATCTAAAAGCATTATCAGCCTGTAGTATACATGCTATTAAAATAAAATACAAAAGAGAAGTATTCTTAGCATCCTGTAACTTTGTAAGATCCAATTTTGTCTAACTTTTAAATTAGGCCACACATTTATAATCTCATTAAGAAATAAATGGTTATTGCCAGACATGGTGGCTTACGCCTATAATCCCAGCACTTTGAGAGGATGAGGTGGGTGGATCATCTGAGGACAGGAGTTCAAGACCAGCATGGCCAACATAGTGAAACCCTGTCTCCACTAAAGATACAAAAATTAGCTGGCTGTGGTGGTGCACATCCACAGTCCCAGCTACTAGAGAGGCTCTGGCAGGAGAATTGCTTGAACCCAGAAGGCAAAGATTGCAGTGAGCTGAGATCACGCCACTGCACTCCAGCCTGGGCAACAAGGTGAGACCCTGTCTCAAAAAAAAGAAAAAAAAAAGTTATACGTATATTTAAACTGGGCTAACTACAATAGAGAAATTCTCCACCTTAATTAGTAGCTAAGCATTCAAGTTTCAACACAAGAAAAGCAGTATTTAATATATCTGAAGGTTTGTACTTAGCAGTACAAATTGAGTTTCTTCTTCCCACTATCTAAAAAAGCCCAAACTCTTCCTCTTACTCCCTAAAGTTACTTTATTTATTCCTTTACTAGGCTTTTAAAAATTCTTCTAAGTATAAAGGGGAAACAAAGTTCCAGTTAGGTACTCATCGTTTTTAATACTTTTGTTATGGATTATTCCCACATAAGCTGGGTGACTAATGTATCCATTCAAAAGTAGTCTTAGAGGCCATGCTTGCATAAGTAGCTCCAGACAAACAGGTCTGTAAGAGGGAGGGTAAAGAGTTGACACCATCCCAAAGAACAAGAGAATTGAAGTAAATATGGGTGGATAGTTGAGACACACACAAAAAAATGAAAACCTAACAAAAGCATTGGGCCACAAAATATTACTCCTGGTCAAGCTTACATTACAGTAAGCATGCTGGGAAGGAGGTTTCCAAGAAATGCAGATGCTTAGCCAAATAAGTATAAGCTTACTCTGAGAGGATGAGGAAAAACTTCAAAGATCTACTTTTTAGCAGCTGCAAAGAGGATGAACTATGGGACTGATTTCATCACATTAATCTGTGAGGCCTGTCTCAAAGGAAAAGTGCGTTCAGATTACACATCTACTCTTTCGCTCTTCATTCCAACTGCTGGACTATTTGCCAAAAATAAACATTGTTAAATCTGTTTCAAATGCAACATGAAGCCTGCTTTCTTCTACCCCTGTGAGATCTTATTCATAGGTTTCTCTGTGTTCCTTTAATAGTTTGTACAATCCTACAAAGAAGGTTTTTTTTGGGTCAGGAAAGAGGAGATTTTATTTCACAAGTAAAACATAGTAATCTTTTTCCTTCACTGGTAAAATGGGAATAATATCAGTACCCACCTTAAATGGTTACGATAACTAGATAATACTTTTAAAGTGATTAGCACATTATCTGACATTCAAGTGTTCAATGACTGTTGATATAGGTTATCTTCCTCTGATAATATTAACTAAATTTGAAAGGATAATGTCAGAAGAGTTAACATTCAATGCTAACTACTAACATATTTTATCTTCAGTACCTGGCATGCATCCAATAAAGGGTTTATAACAATATATTCTTCATCTATTCTTTGTGAGGTAAGTTACAGAACTAGGTTATTCAGCAGTGACCAGACACCTATAACTCCACTCCAACCTCCTGCCACCTTCTTCACAAACCTCAGGCTCACCTAATTTCCAAACTTTTTTCATAAACACCATTCAGGCAACTTGAGAATAAAAATGCAAATCTAAATAAAATGTACTTTATAAACATAATGTAAGAGTTTACTTATAATTCATTTTTCTTATGGAACTCTTTGTACAGGAACAAATGAAGCAAGTAACTATTTGATACTTACATTCTTCAATATTAAAAGTTCAACTCCAATTTCTGAATTAAAGAGACTTTACCAGTTTTGTCTTGTTTTGTTTCCTTTTACTCTTTTAAGTATACGGAATAAAACTAAGATGACTAAAGGATACAGTTTCTTTTAATACAAAACGTCTTATACTCTATCCCAAATACCAGGAAATAGAAAAGAATTCCATATATGTTATGAAACTCCACATCTGTAGTATAAAGCTGTAGTTAAAACTGCTCTCCAAAACCTACTGACAGCTAGAGCCCCACAAGACCTAGATTCACCAAGCAGATATGCCGAATGAAGATTTGGAGGGAAAAAATGGCCTGCATGGGTTGGGAGGACAGAGGGCCAGGAACCAGAATGGTAGTAAAGGGTTTTGTTCATCTGGGGTTGTCAGTGGTGGCTAACACTGAGTGGGCCAGGGGAATTAGGGTAAATAGAACCTACAGAGGTAGGCTATTTACAACAGGTGGCCCTGTAGCAGGCCAGTTCAAAGGTGTGGTTCTAGAAGTTTCTAGAAGTTCAAAATACAGTCTGTTCCTTTGGCTCTCCCAATGTATTTGGAAACTACTCTATTGTCTCTAATAAATCTCTCAGTTTAAATAAGCTGATCTAAATTATGTTGTTCAGAGCTAAGAACCCTGACCAATAAACCAGAAAAAAAGAACATTTCAATGAAAGTCAGTAAACTCTTCCATCTAGAGTTCACAAATATGTACAACTAAAAACAATTTTTGACCTCTTCACTAGAGTTTTACATCTGCTTTATTTTGATTCATGTGATAGTCACTGAAAATATATTTGAAATACATACTTAATATTGGTGATATGACAATTTATATCTAGGAATTCTTTTACAGATGATTGATGAATTTTCACTAATCAAGATGGTCTTCTTTTAACCCTCATGTATTAATATCAAAACAAAGAGAAAGTCTAGGAGTTAAAGTCTTTAGCCTCTAATTTCAATTGACAAAAATCATTCCAATTACTAAAAAGCAGAATTAGAAAATGCATGGAAAATAAAAAGAATCAAATTTTGCTTTGTGTTAATTAAACAAATGATTATGATGAGTGCCCCAAAGTCACAAATCTGGAATCTAGATATTTAAACTTTAAAAAATTATAAAACCAACTAAAAGAAGAATCCCTCAAAACATCAAAGTACATTGTTAAATTTATTTGGATATAAAATAATCACTGAATCAAAATGAACTGAAACTACTGTAAAGAAGACATGAAGTGTATATCAATCTGAAACAAATATTTTAAAGAATTAGGCGGAAGACTCAATGTTAACAGGACTTATAATCTATTTTACAGATTCTGACAATATAATTTTCCATAAAAATGTTAACTTCTGAGGACATAGTTTTAAAAACCATGGTTATTTTTAACATAATATAAATATTCATGTTAATACCGCCTATATAAACTCATACTTTAAGGAGCACATTTTATTAAAAATGTGAGTATCTGACAGCAATAAATGTTATCTTAAAAATAATGAACATTTATAAATTATTTCAGAGAGGAAAAAACTTTTAGTAAGCTAACATTTCTGGCTATATTGTAGGTGCTTCACATATATCTCATTAATCCATGTAGTAAGTCATTGAAATAGAATTATCCCCATTTTTCTTAAAGCAACAGAATAGTCTGAAGCACAGATTACTTAGGTAACTTGAACAACGAAATGAGAGTGTTTTGTAAAACCACATATGAACCCAGATCTGCCTAACTTTTCCAAAGCATTTTTTCTATTAGACCAAGTTGATTTTTGAAAGAAGGTTAACTCAACATCAGGTTAGTAATTTTTCATATATAAATATAAAATATTCTACCAAATAAACATATCTTCCATCTAAATTAAATGTTAAGAGTTAAAGGGAGGAATAGAGTATGAACTTTGGTCTTTGAAGATAAAGTTGAGTGTTCCTGACTATATGATAGAAAATAATAAAGACTCCATAAAATCATTATGTAAACAGGGTTTCCTAATACTTTTTCTACTGAATTAAACTTTTTTGAGGTTCTACTGACCTATTAACCAGATCTGTTCAATGGCCTAATAAAGGTCATGGTAGACTGTCAGAGGCAATAGTTGTTTTCATTTGTCACAAGCCTGGTAATTAAACTCATTAGCCTGCCAATCAGCTGCACGGCTAGTGAAATTTGTGAAAGCAGAACGAAATAGCTTACCGTGCACATGGATGTCTTTGTAATTTTCAGGGTAAAATCTGACGAAAACTCCAAATCTGAGATAGACGTTGTATGGCAATCTATATACTACCCATGAAAAAGGAGTAGAAAAAAGAGCTAAAAAAAAATAATCCAAAAAAAAAAAAAAAAAAAAAAACACCCAGATAAACATTACTTCTTTTATGCACAAATGATTATTGGAAACCAATGTTCTGAAAACTTTAACCATTCACAAGCTAGTTTTTGGAATTATTTATAAGTTTAATGATACTAGTACTCCCATTTTGTTAATTTTTCTTTAAATCAAATTTTTTTTTTATAATTAAGACTCCTTGTAAGCAATAGTATTATATTAAATAATATTCTATAGTAAATAATAGTAAATCATAGCTCTAATGTGCTAAAGCTTTCCTGACACACTAAAATAAATACTTAAAAAAAAAAATGTTTTCCTGTGTTTCATCTAACATCATGTTGCCTACTGTGTATGGTATACTCGCCATAATTGCTATAAATCATGTGTGATAACAGTCAATATATTTATAGAAACTGCCAACTTGAAAATAAATGCTAATCAAAAGAAAGTTGTTTTAAAATTCATGTCTATAATTGTATTTGAAGATAGCTTTGTTAGATATGAGGAGAAACCATTCAATTTAAACAAAACAGCAAAACTATGTCGATTCAACCCCGGGAAAAAACAGCCAAGTATCTTTATTTTCCCATTCTGCCCTTTTCCAAATCCTTCTCCATTATACTTTGGAGAAGAAATGGAATAACCTTTCAACGACAGCAGTCTAACCAGAAGCGTGCTGTAAAGACCGTCATCAGCTGACCAGCCACGAGTAGATCATAACCCAGTGAATGCAGTTAATGTAACCACACACCTGAGGCACTATTTAAAACAATTTCAGAAAAAAATTTAAAAGTACAATGTGTTTGTAGGAGGACTGGAGAACACAGAACAAACTATTTACTTAAATATATGTTTAATAAAGGGGGTACATACATTTTTCAACACCTTGTTTTCAGTTCTAAATTTTTCTATTTCAACTATTTATTCATAGTAGTTTTTGCATTTAGCAGAGATCACTACAGAGAGAAATCGGCAACCTCCACCAACTCTCCTCTTTCTGCTTAACCTTAAGGCTTAATTGGTTATAATTGTACACTCCTATCCTTAGCCAAAGAATCCAAATAAACCCTTTACTATTGGTGTACCAGAGTACTGACTGAACACTCTTAAAACCATCAAACAATGTGTTTTTTTCCTTAAAAGCTGAACGCAATTTTGATCAACCTACTCTTAAGAAACTTCATATTTATTACTCTACACTAACTTTTAATGCTTTAACCATTTAAGAAAATTAAATATGTACTAAATATCTACTTTGTACAGAGAAGAAATATTGATGCTACATGAAAGTAATAGCATGATTAAAAAGAGAAGACAGCACTTTGGGAGGCTGAGGCAGGCGGATCACAAGGTCACGAGATTGAGACCATCCTGGCCAACATGGTGAAACTCAATCTCTACTAAAATACAAAAAATTAGCCAGGTGTGGTGGTGCGTGCCTGTAGTCCCAGCTACTAGGGAGGCTGAGGCAGGGAAATCGCTTGAACCTGGGAGGCGGAAATTGCAGTGAGCCAAGATCGCGCCACTGCACTCTAGCCTGGGTGTCACAGTGAGGCTGGGTCTCAAAAAAAAAAAAAAAAAAAAAAACCAAAAAAACAGAGACAGAATATCCTGAACCTAACACTGAACATATTACTGTATATTTATTTGATTATCTAGTTGAAACAGACAAATTATGGAGTTAAGAAAAGCAATATTTTTTGCTGCAAAGTAACTAGTGAACCCATGTAAATTCAACATAAAAAAATTCACAATAAAACCAGAGATTAACATGGCAAAAAATAAGATGACAAAACACAAAAGGAAGTAACCGAGAAATCTGAACATAGTACGGCTTTAGTTTCATGGGCAAATTCACTATATGTAATTACTTAATCTGAAAATGCTGGAGGAAATCTGAATGAGAGAAGTTAAATTGTGTGGAATATATGACATGAATGAAAAATCTGGCTGTAAATCAGGCTAGGAGGGGGTGATGAAGCAGAAATGATAATACAGAAGGACTTTTACCTTGATTAAGCCAAAGTAAATATAAATTATTCAACCAGTTCAAAGTTAGATTTGAAGGATTGTAAAACTGAGTGTAAGGAGTTTTAATATAGACAGAAGTGATTCCAGAGAAATGATATAGTCAACTGGTAAATATTATGACCTCAATTTGTTTTATACTGATTATAAAGGGAAGAGTACTGTTTTGAAAGCCCACATATAAAATCAATATATTATTTTCAAATATGTTTCAAATGCTGAACTAAGAAACATAGCAATACCATTATAAAAAATAAAGTTGGTAAAGCACCTACCTTAATACCACAAGGTTCTGAAATGAGAGTCTCCGGATCTAAAACTTCCACAACAGCTTCTGGAATAACAGCTTTCTTCATGCAGGACATCTTGAAGCCATAGACGTCATCCCAAAAAGCAATTCTCTCAGCATGTTTATTCATATCGCTCACTGCTACAAGGCTGATAGTGCAAATGTCAGGGTAGACTGTAACAAATAAAATGTCCGACAGGGCAAATGTCAGGGTAAACTGTAACAAATAAAATGTCTGACAATTAAGCATTAGCTCCCTTTATTATGGAATATAATTTTTAAAAGGCTACTACCAAATCCATCAGTAAGGGTTACTAGCAGTGGGAGATTAAAGAAGGTATAGATCAGGAAAAACAATCAGGTTTCATCTTGTAGCCTCTTTTAAAAAAAGATACCCATTATCATGATGCTAAGATTAAAACAGGGATTCCAATGATAGGGTCTGAATTAAAATGGGATCATGGAATTAAACAATCCTGAAATAAACATATTTATTGATATTAAAACTTAAAGTATGCTAACTTAAAAGGTACTAGATCTTTACTTATTTCTATTTTCCTCTAAAACCATGCAGAAAGGGGCAAATCATTTAAACAGATATGTAGCATGTAAGAAAATAATTTATGGAGTTTTATAGTTATACAGAAGACTAGTTCATATTCCTCTCATTTAATAGAAAAATATAAGCATCAAGTATCTGCCAGACATATGTGCCAGATTAATTTACATAGTATGGACATATACCACTACCCTCAATAAACTTATATTTAGAAAATTTTGACAAAGAAATGCACAATTATTTGTGAGGTAATAAATACTAAGAACAGGAGCATACAAGGTACCGTGGGAGCTCACGGCAAAAACAGCTATAGGAAATAAGAATAAATAAAAGCTTCCTCTTCAAAGCTTTCCTCTTAGTTCGATACAAATAAATAATAGTTTATTCAAAGGTTAATTTATTTTAAAGCTTTGCTAATAATCTTAAAGTAGCTGTTACTCATAATGAAGAAATAAGTGTATCCAATGTTCTTAGTTGGTACACTTTAGCCTAGATATTTGCACTGACATGCCTGGAGAAGTTTTAGGATGTCCCTAAAACTCTTTAGGGAAGTTTTAAGTTGTTAGCCAACCGTGTACAGCCTAGAGTGTAAAGTCCAGGTTCAGCTAATGGAATCAGAACATAGCAGCAGGGCGGATATGTTAGACATAAATGGCCCTGCCTCCTTTGTTCAGTGTCCTCAGATGGCAAGATGGCTAATGGGAGCACCCTTTCTGCAGAAAGTAATGTTGTCTTGCTGAGAAAATTAAATTTATATTCAAGGGCTACTTCTTTTGCAGTACCAAAAATTCACATATAACAGCAGCTAATTCATACTTGGCTGGAGAAGGGGAGAAGAGATAATAGATAAGAACTGAAGCCCAGTAAGTTGAGAGTGGTGAGGGAAAGCCTATTCTAGGCAAAGTGAGCAGCAGTGTGCATAAAGGGTCACAATAGATGGGATAGACCATATACAATCTAATTAGAGAGAAACAGACACAAACCTAGAAAGGTAAATAGGGACCAAAGACTATATGCCAAGTAAACCAAATTACTAAACTGGACTTTATTCTATGAATAATGATAATCCGGTAAAAAATTTTACATAGGGCAGCAACATGACTAGATTTTGATTTTAGACAAACCACCTGGAATGCAATGTGGAGAATAATGGAGGGTCTAAGATGAAAACAGAGACAAACTAAGAGATGGTTAAAATAAACCAGGTGATCTGAACTAGGACACTGCTGTGGGAATGGAAAGGATGAGTTTTTCAAGTGATATTTATGAAGTAGAACTCAGAGGACTTTGAGACTGACTAGCTATGGGGGAAAAGGTCAAGGATGACAGTATTTAGCTTTAGTAACAGCACAGATTGTGGTACTAACCATTGTAATAGGACATAAATATGAGCAGATTCAAAAGGAAAAGGAGCAGTTAGTGCTTAACAGACAAACAGATAAAAATGTCTGAAATGTAGCTGAATATAAAGGTCTGAAATTCAAGAGATTATCTAAGTTCAAGACATAAATTGGGAGACCATAAGCATATAAATGAAAGATAAGTAATGGGAGTTCATGAAACCTAGGGAGAATAGATAATGAATAACAGAATTCAAGGGACTTGACCGAGAAACTGGGGCCACAAAAGTAAGAAAACCAAGAAGGTAAGTGTTACATGAGTTAGGGAAAGAGTGACTGAGGGAGGAACTCTCCACTAATAACATGTAAAGAACTTCATAACACAAAACTATAAATAATGCTGATCCTTTTTTTCTTTTACAATAAATAACAAAATTAACGTTGTCTTTCCAATATCTCAAATATCAACTTTTAGAGTACTCATGAATTAAAAATATAAATCACATGTTCCCATATCAGCAAACTGAAACAAGTATAAATGTTCCAAAGAAATACAGCAAAAAACCCCCCAGATTATTGACCAGCTTTCAGATGTAAACAGTAGAAAAATTACCCTCTCCTCCCACCAAAAGTTTTTATACACAGCCTTACCAATTTTACTATTCAATGATAGCAACACTAAATTATTCTCCAAATAAAGCCCATGATAAGATCTACTGACATCAAAGCAATTGCTTCCAAACCTAACTTGTGAGATACTCAGAAAAAACTAACTAGTACTAAGTCACTGATAAGAAATTTCTCAAGTCTTCCCTGATAGGCATTGAGGGAGGTATGCTAGCTGCACCTGCCAGAGTCCATTGCCATGCAAACTCTCCCCTTCTTCCACAAACAGGTAAAGCCTCTGGATTGTGTTTAAATTCTCGATTGATACAAATTCTTCAAAGTAATTGATTTGTTATAGAAAATGTTAGTAAGAGGATCAGCTATAAGGAGGTATATTTAGTGTCCTGAACCAGATCCTTAAGATGAGAAACACTGAATTAAAAAAATAAGAATTCAGAAGGAACTTTAGGTATGTGGCTAACTTCCTGATATATCCCTTGTTGGACTGAAAATTATAGAAGCTTTCCCACATTATGCCCTGTTATTTCATCATTAAAGAGGAACATAATAAAGGTATAGTCAAGGGTCAGCAAACATTTTTTTGTGACGTTATCTAGGTTTTGTGGACAAAAATGATTTTTGTTGAAACTACTGCTTTCTGCTATTGTTGGTGTGAAAGCAGCCACGGCCAATATGTAAACAAATGGGCATGGATATGTTCCAATAAAACTTTATCCACAAAGCAAGCAGCAGGCTAGACATAGATACCCTTGATATAAATGAGGAGAAATGGAAGCGGGTAGGGTTATTATCAGGGCCACCATATGGTCCTGCTTCAGGGAGTGCTATTCACACTATATAGTTCATGGGAACCAAATAACCTCTGGAGTTCTGCAGTGCACAGACATTCAAGATACTTAACATAGTTCATACAGTTCTGCTATTTTAGAATATCTTTTAAAATCTTACTGAAGTTTTAAAATGCCATCAGTCTATCAGGATCAGCAGACTATAGCCCATACTCAAATCCAGCCTGCTGCCAGTTTTTGTATTAATATATAAAGTTTAGCTCTAACACCACCACATTCATTTGTTTACATGTTGTCTATAATCACACTGAGCTACAGTGGCAGAGTTGAATAGTTGGGACAGGGGTTCTATGGCCTGTAAAACTGGAAATACTATATTGCCTTTTACTGAAAAAATTTACTGATCTCTGGCTCTACATTAAGTAATATTAGTACCACCATTAAAAAATAAATAACTTTTTTACAAGAAAAATTATAGCTTACTGAAAGTAATAAAACAATTTTGAAATTGTTGGTAATTAGAAGAGAAACAAACTAAAGAAGAACATGATTCTATTTTTGGGTGTTGTATATTTTTCAAATTGTCTTTCACAAAAATACAGAAAAGCACAGTTTTTATATTGCTAAAATTTGGAAATGAAATTATTTCTAATCTTCCAGTAGTAAGATCTATGAATATTCATAAGGATATGTAATCACTGTTATGGGTCAATTTGGTTCTATATCCACCTCCTCACAGCTGGCTAAAATCTTGGACCACCTGCCAGAATCCTGACTAACCCTTTACCTTCACATTCTGACACATTTGTCATTTGATTTTTGTCAGATAGAAGCTATAATTGAATAATTATTCCTTGTTGTAGGTGAAATTAACAAAATGCTGATTGGACAAAAGCACCCTCTTAACAGACCATTTATAAATTCATGGCTTTGACATCTGTGTCCTTCTCGATTCACTGACCAGAATTCATTTGTCACTAGAACGGCTCACATGGTGAATAGATAAAGATGGGAAATCCTTTATCCCTTAGAAATGCCTCATAAAATTTTGGACACTAAGGGATAAGACAGAGATGCATAAAGAAACAATTTCTAGTAGACAGTAGAAATTTAGTATCACTGTTTGTATATAAATAACCACATAGTAAAAAGATTTAAAACAAAGGAGATAGTAAATAAGTCAAAATAAACCCTTTTTCACAATATATATGAACAATATGGAGATTTTAGTGAAATAACAATGGTAGCAAAAATGCTTGATATGCATAAAAGAAAATTTAACATAGAGTCACCAAATGGGAATTTAAGTAAGCTTTAAAAATTAGTTTCTAGTTTATATAATGAAGGTATCTTTAAAAAGTAATATTTATTTGGAAATTGAACTCATCTCCCTATCATTAATTTATAAATAATGACTAGACCCACTAAAAGTTAGCTAAGGCGCTAGAATATGCTTTGAAAAATTATATGCTGAAAAATAGAAAATGATATGACTGTTCTATTACTGAACAAACTCAATAAGCGTGAAAAAAGCAGATCTGAAGATGAGGAAGTAGACAGTTGTAAAAATACTAAAGGAATCCTTTAAGCACTATGAACCAATGCCAGTGGCTGATTATATTGAGATAATCTATGCAAAAGTGTAGAAAATGTGAAGTGCTGTATAAAACATAAGTGTTAATACCACAATGCTTAAATTCATTTAATAACTTTTATGAAGTATAAACCTAATGCTAAGCTCATGTTCACCAGCTGTAACTCAGGCTGGGAATTAACATTTATTGAGCAACTATTTTGTGTCAAGCATCTCATTTAGACATTTGAATAATTTTATAAAGTTGGATTATAATCTTCTTTTTA